CCGGAACACCTCACCAGGGAGGCGTCCAGGAGGCATCCTAACCAGATGCCCGAGCCACCTCAACTGGCTTCTCTTGACGTGGAGGAGCGGCGGCTCTACTCTGAGTCCCTCCTGGGTGAATGAGCTTCTCACGCTATCCCTAAGGGAGAACCCAGCCGCCCTGCAAAGGAAACTCATTTTGGTTGCTTGTATCCACGATCTCGCCCTTTCAGTCACTACCCAAAGCTGAGGGTAGGAACGTAGACCGACTGGTAAACCGAGAGCTTTGCCTTCTGGCTCAGCTCCCGCTTCACCATGACAGACCGGTACAGCACCCCCATCACTGCAGAGGCAGCACCAATCTGTCTGTCGATCTCCCGCTCCATTATTCCCTCATTCGTGAACAAGACCCTGAGATGCTTAAACTCCTGCACTTGGGGCAGGACCTCCTCCATGACCAGGAGGAGACACTCTACCGGTTTCCGGCTCAAGACCATGGTCTTGGATTTGGAGGCAGTGATCCTCATCCCGGCCGCTTCACACTTGGCTGCGAACCGCTCCAGTGAGAGCCGGAGATCAGGATCTGATGAAGCCAATAGGACCGCATCATCCGCAAAAAGCAGAGATGCGATCCTAAGGTCTCCAAAAAGGATCCCCTCAACACCTTGGCTGCGTCTAGAAATTCTGTCCATAAAAGTTATGAACAGGATCGATGACAAAGGGCAACCTTGGAAGAGTCGCATTCATTTTTCTAAATTGCCTCAAATCAGTGTCCATCCCTAAGATAATACAATAATAACTGATACAAAACAATACAATGTGATATGACTGGGGAGATTTGCATAACACTCAATGCTGTCTCAGAATCCAAAACTTACAGTCATCGCATTACCAGTGTACAAAACATAAATTTAGCAAAGAATTGCAATGTATCAGACACAAACTGCATGACAATATTAAAATGTGTTTAACAAAGAAACAGACATCTTCAGACCTAAATGCACAGTTAATTTAGATAACAGTGGATGACAGAAGGAAAAAGGAATTTGTGGTTTATATGTTACTAGAAATGCATTTCCTAACATTGTAGCGTCCTATAATTGCACAACTCATTCAGATGGTGTTTACCATTTTGATTGATGTAGAGACCTTATTTCTTAAAAATAATTTAGTTTGCATTTGGGATGTTCGGCTGGATAGGTGGAGCTTTTACTCCAGATGAAGTATGAAATCCAGATGTGTTTAGGCTGCTACTAAAACAGTGGGATCATCTGTGGTGCGTGCGTTGTCGTCATGATGCTCTGATTACAGAGAGCACGCTATAAACCGGGAGCTGCCATCTCATTAGTCAAAGTAACTCTGCTTGGTTACTACCCACAGGAGATCCTCCCAAACCCACAGGAGAGCGGGGGAGCCCCTACACACACTCTCCGCAGGGTCCGAACACAAACGCGGCAGCTGCCAGAAAGCACCATCGCGAGGCAGTAAACTCACATCCACAGACCCAAGGACGTCATCCTCACACGAATCAACTGAGGGCAGCGTCTCCCTCACCAGCTAAAAATGGCCTCAGGGGATGAGCTCACCGCCTCAGAGAGTGCGTGGGGTTTCCCCACAGGGACACTCTGCAGGCCTGCACCGACGCAAGTGGCTGCAAGTGACCTGCCGGGCTACAAATCCAGCAGACACCAACACAAAATGGATGCAGCACAATCCATGTTAATCCGGCTCGCTGAGGACCTGGTGAGCAAGCAGAAAAAAGTGGAGGCTAGTCCACACGGGAGTTTCAGTCAATCAGTGGCAATGGCCTGGTCGAAGTTTGCACATGTTCAGGCAAAGGGGACAAAACTGCAGAGGATGAGGAGGCAGCCGGTGTCCCATCAGGCCCCACAGTGACAGGTTTATTCCAGAAGAGCGGAATGCAGCACGCTGAATGGCACAAAGTGGGGCGATAAACGTCAGGCCTAGCTCCTCCACTGTGGTAGTGGCTGACAAAGAGCTGAGAGGCTCATCGCACAGTCAGTCAAACACAGACACAAGTGGGGCTCTGCATTCTGCTCGGGTGGAGGAGAACACACCGGCAGACAGAGGACAAACTTCGTCCTGACAGCTACAGTCCAACTGACAGGCGGGAAGTCTGGCTGTTACAACCATTCGATGATCAGGAAGTTTCATTATTGTTTCTTGTTAAATATGTACATGCAGTACTGTTTTAACATGTGACTGTGTGTGTATGTGTGTGTGTACTTGTTTCTGTTACAGAGTGAGGACCATAATATGTTTTTAACCAACCAAGTGAGGTCATTTTCCCATTTCTCACTGTTTTGCAGTTTTATTGCGCTCTACTAGTTAGGTTTAGAGGTATGGTGTGAATTAAGTTTTGATTAAGATTAGGGTTAGGAATAGACTAGGTCTGGGTAAGGCATAAATGCAGTTACAAAAATGAATATAAAGTCCTCAGTTTGATGCAGGTACAAGGATATGTGTGTGTGTGTGTGTGTGTGTGTGTGTGTGTGTGTGTGTGTGTGTGTGTGTGTGTGTGTGTGTGTGTGTGTGTGTGTGTGTGTGTGTGTGTGT